TCGAGCCCAAGGTTTCCACAGCTTCCAGGTTCTTCACCAAGCAGTTCTTACGAGCCATACGCTTGGCCGTTAGTGTCAGACACACCTGGAGGCAAGGGAGAAGATAACGGATTAGATATCCTTGTGCACCAATACACTGCTACCCAACTCACTGTAGACACGGAATGACAAACTTGTACGTCCTGAAGAGATTCCTCAACTTCTTCACACTCACCCTCCCATTGCAAGATAAGCAGCAACAGCCTGGTCCAGCTCCTAGGTTTACATACTCTCCTTCCCCACAAAACCTCCAGAAAGAAGTGCTGAACACTTTTACAGGTGCCGCATCACAGGTGTGATGCTTGCAGAAGAGACCATTTCTCACTGGAGTGAGGTCGGGTTTCACTCCCCGATCAGGAGCTGGACTAGAGTGAAACTTACTGGGGGCTTTGCTAATCCTTCTGTGTCTGTGTGTGTGGAGAAAAAACCTTAAACCAACTGTTTTGCTAATGGAAGGGCCCCTCCCTGCTGTGGCAAAAAATGTAAAGGAAGGCATGCCCAGAACTCCTAGCCTTGCTCCTTTCAGTCCTGTGATGCCAAGCATTGGCGCAGATCTGCAAGTTAGAGACACACTTATACAAAACAGCTGCAAAACCTGTCATCCACATGGCCTTGGTATCTTACTGATTTGAGTAAGTTTACAAGACCTGGCCTTATGTATTCAGCACTGAGAATAAGGTTTACTGCTGAGAACACACTAAGTACAGAGCAGTATTTCTTGAAGAGCAACGTGCAAAACCCATTCCACCTTCTCCCCCAACATCACTCACCGTGACGGTTGCAAGCAGTCCCTCAGGGACGTTGGCAACAATGATTCCAATGAGGAAGATTACAGCCTCCAGCCAAGTGTACTCAAGGATGAGCGAGAGGATGGAGAAGCTGACGCCCAGGAATACAGCTACCCCCGTGATGATGTGGATGAAGTGCTCGATCTCCAAGGCAATGGGAGTCTTCCCCCCTTCCAGTCCAGAAGCCAGGCACGCTATACGGCCCATCACAGTGCGGTCCCCAGTGCTAATGACAATGCCACGAGCAGTGCCTGGAAGAGAGGCAGGCTTTAGAAACCAAATCCTGGCTTAAAACCTACTGAGCACTAACTAAAACCAGATGCACTAGGGCTCCTTCAGCCTGTCCCAGAGTAAAGCAAGCGTTGTCCAAAATGCTGGAGGTGGGTGTTAGGCTAGGCCAAAATCTCCCACCATAGCTTTTCTTTACTGTCTCGCTGCAAATCCTTTTGCTTAAAAGGACAGCACAGGGTTCCTGCATAACTGTGTTGTATGCCCTCTGCCAGGGAATCAAGAATCCACCTGGTTCAAGTGACAACTGCACAGAAAGCTAGATGAAGCCACTCCAAGAAAGAGATGGTGCCCTCTTTCCTTCTTTAATAGGAGGCCTGTTTTTCTCCTGTCCACAACTTTTGAGGAAGATCAAGAATATGCCTCATTCTTGCAAAACTGGGAGAGATGGAAAGACAGAGAGGGGAAAGAAGAGCATAAATTTCAAGTGCTAAAGATGTGTTAATTTGGAAGTCAGCTTGCTGCCAGGAGAGGACATGGTAGTGTAAGGAGTCAACTTCTACACCATCCCTGGGTAAGATGCACCTTGATGCCTTTGTGGATAGGTTTCCATGGGCTTTGCAACAAGCAGTGCCTTCTACCACACTCATGAGCTGCTACAGAAAGTTCTATCTGAGATGCTCTGGAGTTCCTGCCTTCTGCAGGAGCTGTGTTACTCCCAATAGCTCTGCCTGACCATTTTGGTTCATCCTTGGTGCCTACACTTTAGCACTGCTGTATTTAGACAATCAGGCTTGAAGATGCACCACATAGTTGCTGATATAAGCCATTTACTGTACTGCCTCCAGCATGAGTTGTTAAAGTTACACATCCTCTGAAAGGAGCTAGAAACCAGTTAGTGTTACAGAGTCTTTTCTGCCCACTGCACAAGTATTGTGGTTGGAATGGACAAAGTCTTTGATGGGAATGTCTTGCCTGTTCTTGTACCACAGGACTGGCCTCCCAAATGCAGAACTAAACATGAAGAGCACTCATATTGCTTACCTAAGCAGTTCATTCCCTAGCACTGTTAATACTTCACAAAACTAGGATAGTCACAGACCTTCTACACAGTTGGTAGAAAAGAAGGCAATGTTCCTGGTCTCCAGTGGGTTCTCATTGGTGAAGTCTGGAGACCTGGTCTGAGGTTCGGATTCCCCAGTGAGAGAGGAGTTGTCCACCTGTATGGAAGAGATTATTGCTTCATACGCTAGCAGGCAGATGCTTCAGTGATGAAGGTTAACACTATGCACTGCCCACCTTTCTCTTCCATAACCCACTGATAGCATAGAAGACATTCTTTGAAACCAAACTGATTTATCATCCTTCATTATGGCACATGGTTTTCAAAAGCATGGTCACCATTGTACCTTGCAACCATGAGCAGATATGATCCGAAGGTCAGCTGGAATTCTGTCTCCTCCTTTCACCTCCACCAGATCTCCAACTACAACACCTTCAGCATTTATACTCATTTTTTCACCATTTCTGACAACAAGAGCTTGCTGAAAAGACAGTAAAAACAACCTGTGTCAAAAGCAACTCCTAAGAAGGTGCATGAAATCTCTAAATCTCTTAAAATAACAGTTACAGGGTCCTAGAAAGTTTCTGCTTTCACCTCAGATAGGCATGTGATTAAAGAAAAATAGCTTTTGATACTAAAGTTCTTGGTTGCCAGGATGCAAGTAAGATGGTTAAGTAAGATATTGACCCTCTTTATGCAGGGATTTGGGGTTTAAGAGTTATTGATCACACAAATTACTCCACATACTATCCAGGGAGCGGCCTACAACTGTTAATAAACCTGCAGAACTGTGCAGGATTAGTAGCATGACCACTGGAAGCATAATTGGAGTTGTTGTTATACTCCTCAACATTAAGAGCAAGTTACCCACACTGGCAACTTGGCACAAGAGACATATTGCCTGCTAAAGACCAATACATACCATTCCCATGAAGGCAGGCCTTTTTTCAATTGAAATCCATGCTTAAACCTGGCAAAAGCCCCAAATGCTGAGCTATAGCTCAGCAGGTCAAGTAAATTAGTTGTTCCATACCTGAGGCACCATATTCTTGAAGGACTCCATGATCTTGGAACTTTTTGCTTCTTGGTAGTAAGAGAAACAGCCAGTAACAATAACCACAGCTGACAACACAATGCCAAGGTACAGCTACAAAGAAGAGAAAAGAGTGACTGAGAACACGATCTGTCTGAAAGGCCTACAGTTTTTCTAGATCAGTTGCTTAGTGATTAAGTGCCCCAATACAAAGTGTGAAAGTACTTGCAAACTCTGTACATTCTGTACACAAGGGCTACCCACGAGCTAGTGCTGTTAATGCATGAAGGAAGTCAGCTGTTTCTTTCATTATGCGGAAGCTCTCCAAGACATGTTAAGCTCACCCACCAAATTTCCCATGCTTATGGGAAAAGCTTCTGGACTGAATGCTTAGATGAAGTAGATCTAGGAGCCAAATTAGCTGCTCAGCCTGCCTTTGAGGTAAAGCAGACATTTTTACTTACATTATCATTACTGGGCTCCTCTCCCGTTGCACTTTCTATGCCATAAGCCAGAAAGCACAGAAGAGCACCAATCCACAGCAGGAGCGAGAATCCTCCAAAGAGCTGCCGACAGAATTTGACCCATTCCGGAGTGGTTGGTGGTGGGGTGAGGGCATTCGGGCCATCACGGGCCAAAATCTCAGCTGCACGTGCAGTTGTCAAGCCCTAGAAGGGAGGAGAAAAGAGGGGTTCTCTTCAGGGACATTGTGGCAGCACTGACCAGAGAAGTAGTTGAAGTTTTGAATCTTCAGCTCAAAAATGCAGGAGTCATGTCACAACAGGGAGATTGTAATTGGGAATGGAAGTCTACAAAGCAGTTGAGACTCTGCAGCACAACTGCAAAATATGAAAGATTGACTCTAAAAGAGGAGCTAGGAAATACTGAGCAGTCTGGAGACCCTGGGACTACAAACACTCTATAAACACTGAGGAAAGGCAAGATGAGGTGGCTACAGCAGTGGACTTTCAAGCTCCGAGAAGATGATCAGTCCAAATTATAGGATAAGTGAAAGCTGGGGGCCATGAAGACGACAGCTGGCTTGCTACGAAGTCGAGCTTTTAGAAACCATAGTCTTTGACAGAAGGATGCAAGTCTCTATGCTGTTAGAGAGTAAGAACATACTTGCTGCTGCCATATGTAATCAGATTAAAAATATTAAAAAAGTAAATAAAAAGCAAGTGAGAAAAGGCATGATACCACTGCAGTGCTACTGCACTGGACTTCAAGGTTAGCTAGGGCATCTACTTATTTTTTTTAGAAAAATAATAAAATTAAACTGCCATTTTGTCTCTGGACATGTGTTGGCTCGCTAGACTATTTGCAACAGGAGACAAATGTTTGCCTTTATTAAAAGCTTTGAGGGCGGGGTTGGAGGGGGGGGGGAGTCCAAGAATCAACTTGACCTTGAAACAACCTAGAGGCAGATAACAGTGACTTTGTTTCTAACAAAGCCATGAAACTATAACAGACAAGCTGCATAGTGAAAGGACAGAGTGAGCACATCTATTTTTCCAAAGCCTGGGAAACTTGACTGGGGGAGTTGAGATTAAAAAAAAAAGACCACTTGGGTCTCCCTTTCACGAAACGCTAAGCCGAGGCTGTTCTTTTTCAGACCAGGACAAAGCAGAAGGGAAAATAAAGTCTACCTACCCGACTCAAGTCTGTTCCATATTTACGGTGAAGTTCATCAAGGCTCAGTTTGTGGTCATCCTGAGAAGGAAATAAAAAAAAAAAAAAAAAACAGTGAATAGAAGGTAACCGTTCCTGTGAATGGGTCAGCAAGAGCCCAGTGATTTGTCTCCCTTTCCCCACCCTCCCATCAGTAACAGCTCTGTGAGATAACCAGACTCTAGCTTATCTTCTCTCCAAAGAGAATCTCTATCTCAGCAACTCAAGGCAGCCTTATTATCACTATTCTTATGGCTATTTGGAGATGACAGCTTTCTAACATACCCCAACTACAGCTCAGTGCAGTCTTCTCCCCACACAGATTCTGTGGTTTTCAGGGAGGGGGCTGTCAGGAACAAACCCAGACGTGTACAGAAGCTCAGTCCTGTAATTTCATACGTGCTTTCAGTAACACCGCCTGCTTAAGAAGTGTTTCTCCCCCTAAAGAGGCTCCTTTTTATAGCCAGGCTGTTTTTCAACACAAGCAAGCTCCCCATTGGTGCAGAGCATTGCCGTGCATAAACATTTGGGCTAGAGGGAGCAGACACTTTGAGCTAGTGTTGCTAATAAAACAGAAAACCTGACCTTGGAGCAATTTTCAACTTCCCCTCTCCCTAGCAAGCGGAAAAAGTGAGAACACAGCTCAAAATCCTCAGCACATCAACAAGAGCTGGTCATACATGGATGTATAGCATCATCCATCCCTCACATACAGGGATGGGCATCTCTCCACAGCATCGTATGTGCATAGAAGGAATACTACTACTACTGATGTCTGTCTAAACAGAGCAAATGGAGCCGTACAGAGGGTGAAAACAGCTGCCTTGTCCACACAACAGCACAATAAAGCCTGCACCGCTGCTATCTGGACAGCCCAAGCGAAGAAAAGCTGCTAGACTTTGCTCTGTGTAACGCAGGCAAGCAGACGGTTGAGTTTCATGTCAGGTGCCTTTCAAGAAGTGATGTTTTCAGGGCCTATTGCATGCTCAGCACGATGCTAAAACACTTGTAGGATGTCTGGCTAGGAAACACAGGGGACCAGAAGATCACTGCCTTGCAAGCCACCATGCTGTCAGTTCAACAGTTCTTCCTTCTAAATGTTGTGATGTACAGGGCTTTGGACGTAGTGAACAGTCTTTTTCCCTGCCTCTGGCTCTTACCATTGTAACTTCCTTTTTCAGCTCATCCATGTCCCTCTCCTTCTTTTTCTTCTTCGTGCCATGCTCTGATGTAGCAGTAGGCTCATACTTGTCTCTTCCAGCCTTTTTTTGAAAAAGAAAAAAGTATAATATTGTAAAGAATACCTACAGTCAACTTCTGCAGCAGTAAATGTCAACTGTGTGTATGAAACATAAATGTCAATTGTACATATAATTGTGCATTGTGCAGAACAGACAAAATGATTATGGTTTAAATAAAATTATGTCACTTCAATTAAAAAAATCCAACAAGCTAGTAAACAGACAATTCTGTTCAGCAGCACCCATGATGCACATATTACAACCAGGCAATGTACAATATCAGATAGAAGGAAATTAGATTATATATTTTTCAATCAATTTTCATGTTAGCCTCAGTTCAACCTGAAAATACAATATCATAAGAAACCAATGTGTAAGTGCAACTGGACATTCTCTCCAAGGAACTAGCTATTCTTCCAGGAGAGGAGGATCCTACCAGAGAGAGGAGAACACACACACACACACATCAAAAAACACCGCACCCCAAACAAACCAGCCAAATAAAAAGCACAAACCCACTCACAAACCCACAGTTGCCTCTAACTAATGAGATTTGGAGGGAGGCTCCACACATTCATTCTCAAACTGGCATTCCAGATGGAATGTTTATTCAGATGGAGTTTGATTTTCTTCAGTTGAGATTGTTTCTGCATGGAATTTTTATCTTACACTTAGTCCTAAGCATAATCCTAAACAAAAGAAGTGTAGGGTCCTCTCTATAAGGTACCCAAGTCAGGCACCAGTATGGCATTGCAATGCAGTTTCTCCTTTAAATCTTCTACAGATTTCCAGACTTTCACAAGGCTCCAATAGCAGATTTTTCCTCCCTTTTCTTCTGCGGAAGACCTATTACATCCCTGCCAAGTTTTATGTCATGACACTTTCACCCAATAAGAACTGGAGAGTGCTTTGAGATGAAACAGCAGTTAGCAGCACAGTCAGGCCAGTAGCAAGGTTAAGAGGAGGGCCCTGAGGCACTGCCTTGCTGTTTGTACAAGCAAGTCCAATCACAAATCCCACTCCCGAGAGCAATCAGGACACAAACTATTGCTATAATCCTAGAATCGTCCCATTTAATGACAAAACACAGGAATATTTTTTCTGTTATTATTTACTGAGAGAAACAGAAACCAAAAATAAAAAGTGAAACTGCACAAACAAAAAAAATACAACTTCTAAGAAAACTGTCAGTCATGTCTAGACAAGGATTTTTTTCAGTGAACTCCACACACACAAACCACATTGCAACTATATTCATATATTTCACAGACACAGAAGTCCAACTACGTAACAGGAGGCAAACTTTGAATTCCTCATATCCCTGCACTCTGCCACAGAGCTGGGCAGTGGAAATTTTTTTTTCTAAATAAATGTAGCAGATCCTAGATGTTGGTGTTCTTTCCTCCAGAAAAGCACAGGACTACATACTGCAAGCATTCTTGACATTTTCTTTGGTGCACCAAAACTCCTATTTCATTATTTTGTAAAAATAAATAAATAAATAGATTAAAAAAAAAAAGGTGAAACCACAGAAATTTAGACAGCACAGTCCACACATTCCAGGATCACAAGAATTTGCCACAGGGCAACTTGAAGACAGTCATTTTGGAGCCTTTTTTCCTTTAGCCTCAGCTTCAAACAACTGTCTATTAGACCTTCAGGAACTGTCAAGTCCAGACAGTCCCTCTCAAAACATTCATGCTTAAAATGAAATTTTAAATGAATTACTGTTCAAAATGCAAAGTGGCTTCCAATGAAGCGGATGAAGATGGGTAGATAGATTAGCACTCTATCATCTTCATATTCACACCCTTTTTCCAAAAAGGCTTGGCAAGTTTTTCAGGCGGTCTAGCACCCCCAGCTCTCAGAAGCTCCTAAGAACTACAGTTACTTAATACAGAGGGAAAGGAAGAAAATGACCCAACAATAAAAAACTTTTTAGCCCTGGTGGCTAGAAAGGAGGAGGGAAGGGCGGGGGGGGGGGGGCCCATTTACTCTTTTTTTCTTTTTTTTTTGCCTTGCTACTGCATTCTAACCTCAACATCACAGGAAAGGTTAAGACAATGGCTATCAGGTTGTTTCATTCAGAATCGGAACTTCCTGTCCTATCATTCAAGCCTGATTTTGACGCATAGCCCCTATTCCTGCCTCCACTGCCAGTGCCTCTCTCCTGGCACAACGATCCCTGTCTGCAGGCAGCAGCCTGCGCAGCCTCTGGGTGAGGAACTCACCACTCCCCTGGGTGCTGTAAGACTTCTCTGCCCTCCCCTCCTTTTCCTGTAACACACAGTGCTTCTGACCTACAACTTACCGAGAACACAAAGGAAGGTCTGCCTCATCAGCATTGTCCCCTCTGCTACTCCACTTAGCTGAGGAGCTCTTGACTCATCAAAACGGTGACAGGAAAAGGCACAGAACATAGCTTTTTGTTTTGTTTTTATTCCCATTGGTCAAAGCAGAACATTTGTACCTACAGCTGCAAGAAGTTGAATCCACCACCCCTTCCCCAAAGCCCTATTGTCTTTAAGATAGGGCTTGTGCTTTTCCGCCCTGCGCTAATGGAGCCAGTTCTGACTGGCACTTCAGCTGTGGCCCAGCACCAGCAAGGAAATGGGAGGGGTGCAAGGCAGGCAGTGGGACAATTTCACAGCCCCTTGCCTCTAGCGTCACCTACCCTCATAAGCACCAGCAAGTAAAAAGTCCAGATAGGTTAAGTACACTCTGGAGGCCTGGTCTCCTCTAATATTTAGGTCGTTATCAAGCGGGCAGAGAAAACTAGCAGCCAGCTCTCTCATGAGTCAAACTTCAGTAAATATATCGGCCAGATGAGTCATGCCAGTGACTATCACTCACTTGAATGAGATGTACTGCTTTGCACAGAGCACGCGTAATTTTAGCAAGGGACAGAAATACCCTCTCTAGAGCTTTCTCCCTCCCGTTCACAAACTCTGCTTAACCTCCTACCACTAAATAAAAACAGACAGACTGCAGCAGTCAAACGGATTCTCAAGAGCAAAGACAGCAGTGCTTCACTTCTGCTAAGTGAACAGAACTTCTCACTGCAAATGCTTCTTATTTGGATTCGGCAAGCAGGCTACTGCGTCGTAGCCCAAAGCTTCCACAGGACTGCCCCTCCTCATGAGAAGGAGAGCTTAAAACTTGCAAGGCTTTCCGTCCCCAGGGGTGAATTGTGACCATCCCTGTGCTTTATGTTTTCTCAGCACTGGAACCAAGGTCTCCTCTCTTTCTTGAAGACCCAGGAGCAGAACTGGCTTTGTAAATACTACTGGTGTGTGACAGGAGTCCTGCGTGTGTTTGTGTGTTTTGGAGCTCTGTCAACTATGAAGCGTCACCTCCCACAACTCTGTGCTCAGGATATTAACTTAAGACATCTCTAGTAGTAGTAGTCAAATACATGAAGGATCAACAGACTGGATATGGCTCTCCCATAGAGCAACTAGCAGCTCCAGCTGCTCTTTGAAAGGCTCTTAGGTTTCAAAATGCGCTACCTTGTGGGGTTTTTTGGCATGTCAGGATCCCCTAGATTGCGGGGATAAAGTCCACAGGTACAGAAGGCTTGTCAAAGACCCTCCTATTCCATTACACTTCCTTGAGTGCACACTTCTTCGGCAAATGCAATATATTCTCACTCCTCCCTACTAATAAAAGTTGGAACAAAGATGACTTCAGTAGGGGCGGTTCAGACATATTAAGAAACCTTAATTAGTCCACTAGAAGTCCACCAGATAAGGAATGCTTTGATTTGCATAATTTCCCCTCAGTTGATGCATTAAGGAATAAGCCTTCCCAGTTTTAAACAGCAGATAAGCTTAACTTTGATTTAATATTGCTTTTCAGAAGCAAATCAAATCAAGCACTGATAACTGTGCTCTGCATGCATGCAGCAAGGCAAATGCAACGAAACATGCTGCTGTACACAGACAGCTTC